TTTCGAGCACGCCTGGGCTACATCATGTATATACCTTCTTAAACCCAGCCTTGGGCGAAACATAGTGTTAAAAAATTCTCTCTTGCCAGTGACTATACTTCCACTTGTCGCCTGTTGTCGTTGTCTGCTATATACGTTGCTAGTAGCAATATTATGTGTTGAAACCCTCAAATGGGTAAAACATCGCACTAATAACGTTCTCCTCGTGTTGTGTGTGTGTATTCCTGACTCTCATCCTCACTTCAGACGGCAGGTTGGAGACTGGAAAGTGATGGCACAAATATTGAAGGTCTAAGAGTATACCTGGAGTATACCTGGAGTATACCTGGAGATTACTGAACGAGTAAATCTTAATGTAGCAAAGCAACGATCCACATCAGCTCCGGACCTCACAACCCACAAACTGGAGATAAATGTTTGCATGACTTTTCTCTCCCTCCTGGTACCAGCAACCCCTCGAATTTGAGCAACTTTCAGAATCCGGTCTGTTTACTGTGTCTGGATGCAGCCTCCCTCACCACTTTCTCATCTCCTCAGCCTCCAGTGTCTCCCAGGGAGGTTGCTCACATGCAGCCTCCCTCACCACTTTCTCATCTTCTCAGCCTCCGGTGTCTTCCAGGGAGGTTGCCGAGATGCAGCCTCCCTCACCACTGTCTCATCTCCTCAGCCTCCGGTGTCTCCCGTTGCAAAGAGGTGCTCATGAATATACGGAACCTGCCTACCGAATATTCTCCGTTCATGTAATATCTCAGTCAGTGGTAATAACGGTAACAGTCGTACCCTGTTATTATTCTGGTATGCTGCTAGTATTATCCTCGTAACATCCCAGCTGTCGAAAAGTGATGTTATATGAGCGTGTTTTGTAGTTATAGGTGTGTGTGTGTGTGTGTGTAGTGTAGTTATATAAGTGTAGTGTAGTTATATAAGTGTGTGTGTACTATAGTTATATGAGTGCAGTGCAGTTATATCATAACTCATACTAAGAATTTACAGTCATAAGGAATCTTCCTAAATTCTTAACCTGACCTTGATATAGCGTTGTCCTTTGTTTTATCTGGTTTTATATCAGTAATACCAGACAGGTTATTGTGCATCAACAAAAATATGAAGATACACACACACACACGGGGGAGGAGCTATGAACCGACCCCTGCAACCACAAATAGGTGAGTACACACACACACACACACACACACACACACACACAAACTTCTTGTTTCTGAAGGCAACTAAACAGCTGGAAGCATACGGCACGTAATCCCACCTTTATACATTACAAAGAATTCAATTTTAAAGTTGCGTTGTTTGAATGAGCTTGAGAGTGTGACATATGATAGAGGCTTATTTGTTAATGAAGCAAAAGAAAAGAATCAAAACAAAGCAGCAAGGAGTGGGAACATTTCCTTGTGGAGAAGAAGTTAACTTGGAGTAGCGCTGACACTGAATGACCAACCAAGGAAAGGAACGGTGGTATAAGTGCCTAAAATTCAAGAATTATGTAGATCAGAGTTGAAATGGGATGTGAGAAGTGGGTTATAGTAAGTATTTATGCACCTGGAGGCGAGAAGAGTTTAGAATCAGCCGCAGCTGCCGTATAATAGAGCCTTTGTAGGGAAAAGAGTGAATGAGTGAATGTTTATTGAGTATTAAACCGAGAGAATAATTGCTGTTGGTGAACTAAATTCTAATAAGAGATTGTTGTAGAGGGCGTAGTAGTCGTGGTAGGTTAGTCTAGAGTGCCAGCGGTAAATGACAGTAGGATACTTATAATTAAATCTGGTAGTGAAAGAAGCTTAGTAAGAGGTAATACCTACTTTAAGAAAACGAGGATAAGTACACAGGATATGATACAGGGCGAAATGACAACAGTTTGTTAGATTAAGTATTAGATAAGAGGTTAATTGCCTGACTTATGGGTATATGTTTTTAGAGGGACGACTGTTATATCACATCATTATTTAGTGGTAGCCAGAATGAGAGTGAGAGGTAGAGTGAGTGCAAGGAGAATGTTGTCGGTGGAAAGAAGTGAAAGTGAATGAGCTGAAGAATGGAGTTATTGGGCGATATAAGTAATTGTTAGTCGATAAGTGGAGGAGAGAGCGTACAGGTAATGAAGAGGACGTCGAGGGGTGGTAAAGGATAGATTTAAAAATACAGTATTAGTGCACAGCAGAAGTTTGTGGGTTTAGGAGGGTGAGCATCAGAGGGAAAGTGAGAGATTGATGGAATAACGAGGTAAAGAGGGTGGTAAGGGAGAAAAAGTTAGTATATGAGAGTTTTATAATATAAAAACGATATACGGAAAGCTAAGTACGTGGAGAAAAAACAAGGAAGGTGATCCCAGAGGTGAGGAAGTGGACAAGGAGAGCCAGTGATAGATCGGCTCAGCAGCAAATTTTCTGAGAATAAAAAAAAAACCGCTATGGAGTCAGACTAACACTTGAGACTAACACCTGAGGAGCACAGGAACGTACCAGTTCAAAATGTTAAAGAGGAGATAATAGATGGGGAGCAAATGTGCTGGAACGACAAAGAGAATATTTTAAGGGGTTATTAAATCATGATGGTGAAAGAGAGGCAGTGACATTGTGCCTTGGGCAGGGAGGAATAATATATGGTAGGAGTAAGGAAGAGGAAGATGTGAGTGTGAGGGTGAATGCATGAGGCAGTGGGTAAAATGAAAGGAAGTAAAGCAGCTGGAAGAGATGGGATTAAGAGTGAAATGATGAAATCATGGAGGGGAAAGGGGTATTATTTTGAATGTTTTATGTATTTGCTCAATATACGAGTTTAAGAAGAGAAGGTGTATGAGAACTGACAGAGAGCATACATAGTTCATTTGTATAAGGCAACAGGGAACATGACAGAGAGTTTAATAACAAGAATGTAATAATAATATTAAGTATACTGGGTTAAACGTATGGTAGAATTATTAATGGACGAGTCAGATGTAAGACAGAAAGTAGAAGTGCAGAGGAAGAAAGAGGTTTTTAGGAAAGGTAGAGGATGTGTAGGTCAAGTGTTTACTTCGAAGAATAAAAGTGAAAAATACTGCAGCAAACACTCTTTATGACGAGAACGAGACTCAGGTTAGGATAAGTAGGAGAGATGATGACTATTTTCCAGTAACAGTAGACATTATACAGATATGTGTTGTGTCATTATTATTATTTGAGATATTTATAGATGATGTGGTAAAAGAAATGAGTAGAGGATGCTGATACAAAATCTGAGTTGGCACAATTACTCTTTGCTAGTCACAGATCTTTTGGGAAATTCTGGAGAGATGCTGCTGAGTTTAGTGGATGAGTTTGGGAGGATTTATTAAAAGAAGGAAATTAAAAGTGAATAAAGAAAAGAGTAAGGTGATGAGAGTAACAAAAGAGTTTATGCAATAAGAAATTGGATTTCAGACTATAGGGAGGAAGAATGAATTTAGGTATTTGGGGGTGTACCTGTCGGCAGATAGGTTCATGGAAGACGAAGTGAACGATAGAATAATCGAAGGGTAAAAAGGTAGGTGATGTGTTGAGGTGTTAGTGAAGGCAAAGAAAAAATGAATCAGTATAGTGGTACCAGAACTTTTATATAGCTGTGAAGCACAGGCTGTCAACTTTATAGCAAGAAGGAGGCTGGAGGCAGCGGAGATGTAATGTTCGACAGCATTATGTGGTGTAAATATTATGCAAAAACTTCAGAGTATAGAAAATAGAAGACAATGTGTGGGTTACAACAAAATTATTCAGATGACTGAGGAGGGGTTGTTGATGTGGTTTAGATATTAAGAAAGGATAGAGTACGGTAAGATGACCAAGAAAGTGTGTAAATCCGAGAGGAAAGAAAGAAGGGATAGGGATCGTCCCAAAAAAGGTTGTAGGGAGGATGTTAAGAAAGTTTTAAGTGGTAGGGGCTAGTTACAGCAGGTGTGTTAGAGTGTTAGATCTAGGCGAGTAGAGACAAGTGGTTTTAGGGATCTGACGTGCTGGTGGAATGTGAGAGGATAATGTTTACGAAAGGATTAAGGGAAAATGGTTCATCAAGCTTGAGTCCTGGAGGTGGGAAGTACACTGTCTGCACTTTGAAGGAATGGTGATGTTGCAGTTCTGAAGGTTATTCGAATTGTAATGTCTGTACAATTCTGGCAAGACAGTTATTGAATGAATAATTGTGAGTGTATTTCCTTATCTGGGTCACCTTACCTTGGTGGGAGACGGGCATTGTGTTAGAAAAATATGCACACAAATGTAGATAGACGCAGGAGTTTCACGCTGCCAAAGACAAATTAGTGGTAGAATATCTGAAATCGTGGACGCACTTCAACTGAGATTATCATACTACTAGCAAGGAATTAGGGATGATAGGGTTCCCAGCAGATGCTAGTGTGACACTCAGACCTTTGCTCACAAGAAAGCAAATGCTGCGGTGGAAACTTGTAATTTAGTGTTGGAGAGAAAAGTGATGTGTTCGACAATAGGGTTATTAGGGAGGGCTTAGTCTCGAGCTGGGTGAGGCAGGAGAGGTAAGTTTTCAAACGTCTACTGCCTAGGTTCATCTAGCAATAAAGAGATAGCTAGAAGTAATAGCCGATTAACGTAGGACACATACTTGTAGAGGAACGAAGGACTCTAAACCCGACTGCATTAAGTTATCCTGGTTAAATATGTGTAATGTACTAATAGCTTTGCCTACAACCTGTACCCTGAGAATCATCGCGCACATGTATAGCACTGTGCAAAATTATTTGTAGATCTCTTGAATAAAGCTTTTCTTATCTAAGTTTATAGAATGAACCAAAGCTGCAGTATAATATAGCTGTGGTCCGCCTCTTTAATTCAAAACACTACCTGTGAAAATTATTAACAGTCTTACCCTCTCAATTTGGGTACCCCCAGGTTACACATTTTCTCAAAAGGTTATAGACCGTGTCACTCCACACATTACATCTCTCAGACAACAGGATTACACCTTTAAATGTAACACCTTTAAATGTAAGAAAGTACCTTCTCTGACGGTGAGATGGATGGTGATGTATGATGATGGTGAAGTGGGAGCCGTGGTGATGGTGAGACGATGACTGGTGCCTCCGCCGAGTCCTGGCCAGGTCTGCCTCACACACCTCACTGCTGCCGACTGAACACATCAACTTTGAACTTTCGCGGCTGCAGGTGGCCATGGGGCGGCCTCCCCACGTCACCGCAGATTTCCGAATTGTTTTATATTGCTTCGTTTCTTCTGTCTACTACAGTATTCTGTTACTCTGAAGCAGGACTAAATAATCAGGAAGCTGGACCTGGTCCGTACGCTCCAGAAAGCGCACGCCAGGCCAGTTCTGCATGATATAAAAAAGATGGTAACCTTTTCATGATCTGTCACGTCAGAGAAGGACCAGAAGTATAACAGTATCAAGGTAATTTCTCCTTCCAATATATATATATATATATATATAATATATATATATATATATATATATAGGAGAGAGAGAGAGAGAGAGAGAGAGAGAGATATCACAGTCAGCAGGACTCGATACTGCTACTGGGGACGATCAACATTCCCATGTAGCGCTCTTATCCACTCTGCCACAAATACCACATAACCTGGGCAACCTGGTTCACAAGCCATGTTTCTTTCCCAGCCCGGGCACCTCAGTGAGCCTAAAGTATGGATTCAAGCTATTTCAATCTCCTCCTGTAAGTTCTGACCTCTCAAGCTTTTTTTATATCAATGGACCACACAGAAACATGTGGGTATATACAGAGAAAGATCGCAGTCAGCAGGACTCGATACTGCTACTGAGACAGACAAGATTCCCAGGCAGCGCTCTTATCCACTAGGCCACGTATGACACATAAGCTGGGCAGGCCAGGGTTCGACCCCACGACACATCGTCCTGCCTCAATAGACAACACAACACAACATACGTGTCACCTTATCCATCGTGACGTCAATCCTACAAACATATATATAATATATATATATATAATATATATATATATATATATATATATATATATTTTATATATTATATATATGTATTATATATATGTGTGTGTGTGTGTGTGTGTGTGTGTGTGTGTGTGTGTGTGAAATTGTAACCCCGAACAAGTGGTATTTAATCAATAACACACTACAGCTAGCCGGGGGATCGAACCCGTGTTGTTTTAGCCCGCCTCGTGGGAAGCAAGTTAAAATTCACGACGCTCTAAACCAATGGACCATACAGTCCTACATATGGTCCATTGGTATAGATCGTCGTGAATTTTGACTTGCTTCCCACGAGGCGGGCGAAAACAACACGGGTTCGATCCCCCGGCTAGCCGCAGTGTTGTTATATATATATATATATATATTATATATATATATATATTATATATATTATATATATATTATAATATTATATATATTAGTTGTACCATCTTTGAGGTTCTTCTCAGTTCCTTAAAATGTTGTAATTTACCCTGAGCCTTGAAGAACCGCCTTAGGCAAGTCTTACTCAATACGTTTTCCTCCCACGGGCAACTAGAAGGGGAAACTACTGCAACCACGTTATAGGTCTGGAAAACTAGTCCAAACTCTCCTCCCCCCGCTGACCCGCTCACCTTGGCCGCTCTGTTGCTGTGTCACAAACCGCACCGCCAACAACCCATACATGGGGAAAGAAAGAAAGAAAAGGAGAGATGATACAGGACAAGTGAAAATACTTGCAAGGATCTCTTCGATGTGTTTCTTGTTGCTACGTTATGTTCTTTGATTATATGTCCACCATACTGAAAACTTACACCTGTCTGCACGTGTCCTTGTAACAGTATTCACACTTGCGCCTCTAACTGTTCTTGCAGCTGTAGGCTACACAGACTTGTGTCTGTAATATGCTGCTCGTGCAAAAAAAAATGATTATGAGTACATGCTGAATGCAGATACTAGTACCAGATAGTTGAGCCCATAAAGGCATGTACGGTTTATGAAAATAATAAAAATAGATCAAAATACTGGCCTGAAAACTGCTTTGAAAGCAAGAGGTACAGGCAGACTCGCGAAATATCAGTGCCTAAGTTTTAACCGGGAGTCTTTAAGCCCTACCGGACGTGACGAGAAACTGACGATATTATGAGACTTGAACACACGTGCCCTCTCGCCCAGAATTTTACCCGGATTGTTTCGGTTGTTAATGAACACCATTTGGATTGCCGTTCTGAAACCGATTCTTAAAAATAAAGTTCTGTGAGCTTCTTCTTCGTCATGGGGACTATAGGACCACCGACAGCATGCACCATATTGAGTCCCGGCGTGAGCCAGGCTCTGTACGGCTCCGACGACGAAATACATTCCCTTCGTTGTCAGTTTTGATCGCTGTTATGAAACCGTTTCATTAGTGGGACTTCGTGAGTGAGGCTCGGTAAGGCTCGACCGCCGGACCAGTTTTTGACGTAACGTGAGGCTCTCCTTCCCCCTTCCCCCTACCTTCCTCTTTCACAGCGTCCATGGAGAGAGCACCACACCCTGTAGCTCCCTTTCACAGCATCCAGGGAGACAGAACCACGCCCTGTAAATCCTTTACACAGCATGCAGGGAAATAGCACCACGCCTTGTAGCTCCCTTTCACAGCATTTCATAGCATCAAGGTAGATAGTACCACGCCCTGTACCTAATTTAACAGCATCCAGGGAGATAACACCACGCCCTATAGCGCCCTTTCACTCTCAGGCAACTTCTGATTCATGCAAACTCTGCATCCCACACACAATCTTTATACACAGAGAGGTATGTATCTCTCAGTGTATATACACTGAGAGGTACATATCTCTCAGTGTATATACACTAGATATATATTCGCTAAAAGGTGCTAGTGTCTCTGTCTGACCGTATATACACCGAAAGGCGGATGAATCCCTCAAGCATATTCATATAAGGTAAAGAAGGCAGGATCAGGAAGATGGTAGAGCGCCCAGGGAGACGTGGTTTCATGAGCAACGACCAGGACAGGTTCGAAAACGGTAAATCCTCTTAGGGGAGAGTGAAAAACTGATCCTGTAAACCCTGTGCCCGAAATACTCTATATAAACAAGGGCTTTCTAAGTGGGCTATTAGTATTATTAGTATTAGTAGTAGTAGTAGTTGTTGTTATTGTGGTAGTGCAAGTACAAGTAATAGTAGTAGCAGTAGTAGTAGTAGTAGTAGTAGTAGTAGTAGTAGTAGTAGTAGTAGTAGTAGTAGTAGTAGACTCAAATGCTAAGTGTGTGGACAGAGAGAGGACCTTACACTTAGTTTAATTTATTTTAACACCTTTATTATGCACCCCATACCCATCCTGTGGGCAGTAGTCAAAGGACTACAGAGGTGCATAATGGGTCCAGGGACTGTGCCCCAAAATTTTGATAGTTGGACAAGTTACGGTGGTAATGAACTATTTACATGTTTATATCTGGTCACAGTCGTAGTGAGCTATTTACAGAAGCATACACTGGAACATCATTTCTTAGTTTCTACTGTAACCCTCCAACACTAAAGTCATATATAAATGGTTATAAATATGACCAGAATTTTTAAATGAGTGTACCGGTAAGCCAGCGAAAGGCCTCTATCAGATGACCAAAAGCCCCAGTGGCAGATCATCGACTGACTTACATCCGTATCAGGAAACACTTGTCCTGTTTCCTGACGAACTTTACCTAACCTAAGTCATGGACACGAGTGAACACACCCTGAGCCCAAGCTCTACTCCCCTGCCCTCTGATGAGTTGCGAGTCACACATCCTTTTGAAAGTGTAAAGAGAATATCCTGTTCGTTCCGCATTACCACACGCTCTCCTGACCCAGTAAAAGTGAGCCCTGACCTCAGGGAACAGTGTCTTGTCTCCCCTGCAAACCCTGGTTTGAAGCTGAGGGACCTAAGTGTTGACAACACTTGTGGTAAAAAGATGACAAAATATGCGCAGTAAATCTTTACTGACGACGTTTCTATCTGCGTGAAGCTCTGCACAGATCGAAGCGTCTTTTCATAATTTTCGCCGGCAAGTGTTGCCATTCAGCAGTCTAGCACTTAAGAAGCATCGAGCAGGGACTTAAGACAAGGTCCTGGGACCTAGTTTACTCCAATAACAAGGTTCTGGGACCTTGTTTACTCCATAAACAAGGTCCTGTTACCTTGTTTACTCCAAAACAAGGTCCTGGAACCTTGTTTACTCAAAGTTTATTCTCTATAAGGATTACAATGCCGAGTTTACTGAAATTTGGTTATTGTGTGGTTTACATGTTGTAAAATAGTGATTACAGAGTGTACCACTAGAACGCTTAGCATGGCTAGGCATTTCGGGCAGACTTAGTTTTATTCTTAATTGTAAAATATTACAAATTATGAGGTAAGTTGGTATTATGGCTAAGTGACTAAATACTAGTTTGTGAGTTTAGCAATGTGAATGCTTTTGTTTTGGCACAGTACATAGTTTCAGTATTGGAATATCACAGGATTCTGTTTACCTCATAAACAAGGTTCAGGGACCTTGTTTACTCCATAACCAAGTCCTGGGACCTTGTTTTCTCCATAAAAAAAGGTTCTGGGACCTTGTTTACTCCAAAAACAAGTGCTGGCATCTTGTTTATTCCACGAACTAGGTTCTGGGACCTTGTTTACTCCATAAACAAGACGCTGGGACCTTCTTAATGGAGTGCTCATGCTTCGTTAACCACATGTCAGCATTTACCTGCCGGTTTTCATCATAAAAAAAATTACGTCGTTTCTCCAGTACGGGTAGGACTCGAAGTCATCTTCTTCAGGATACCTCAGAAAAGCCTAGCAGTTTTTCTTTTTGTTTTCGTTGGGGGTGCTATGAGCCTCACCCAGGATGCGATCCATATCAGTTGGCTAATTTCTAGGTAGCTCTTTTTTGCTAGGTAACTAGGGGTGAAGGAGGGGAACTGATGTAAATCGGCTGGCCAAGCTTTTATAGTGGCAACGTTTCGCTGTGTGGAGCTTTGCAATAAAACTTTGCGCAGGGGGAAAGGATGTCACTCTAAAAGAAGCTTGTTCTGCACCTGTATCATTTCTTCAGTGTTGATGGCACTGCTCTCTTGTGTCCACTTTGTTCATTCATCTCACGTAGCCTATGATCAGGATCCTGGTATCGCCTAGCCCAG